ATTTTTAAGCTTAAAATGTAGAATGTAAAATTCAGTGACATTAAATACATTCACAATGTTGCACAACCACACTCAGTGTTCTTAAATTCAGTCAACTAATCCAAAAATGTTTTGAATACTTTAGGAACTGGATAAAATGTGTTTGTAAGCCAGGTTCAGCCAATTGCAGCTCTGCATGACACCATGCTGCCTCTAGTTCATTTCAGGCTTATTTTTATGTAAATATATGTAATTTGTGTATATATTTATATAGGAACTATAAGTCAGTACATTTTCCTCTCCTCTTTGATAGATCCTCATTTGCCATCTCTAATGGGTCTCTATAATGTTGTCTTCTCATTAAATTGCTCTCTCTCTGTTTAACCTCCACCCCTCTCCAACCCCAATTCTCTAACCCATTCACTCTTCTGCCTTGGGTGCGTGGCCCTGTATACCACTGCCTTTCCTTTGGGAAGGATTTCCTTCTCTCGTTCCCACTCCCTCCCACTGTCATAGCAATTTTGCTATCCCCAGCCCAAGTGCACAGTTGTTTCCAGTGCTACCAAGATACTAAGCTGTACTTAAGGTTGCCAGCACCCTCTTTCCCTCCCTGCCCCCCATCCATCCTTCCTACTTTCCTTTGAGCTTTAGGAAATTCCCAACTGGTGGGTAGGAGGTGAAGGGTTAAGGGGTGAGTATTTTGCCAGTAGGGGAAGTACTCAGTGCCAGGCAGACCAGCAGAGGGCCTAGTAATTAGAAGGAAAGTTCTTTGATGCCTACCATGTGCCAAGCAATGTGCTAGGCAGTTTGCATACATTATCATATATATTCCAACAACACTGTAAAGTAGGTTTCTTGGAGGGAATCACGTGTCATGGTTTGCCCGGAATAGTCATGGTGTTTGCCTGTTGTCCTGGCAAAATTATTAACAGCATTCTCTTTCATTCTCAGAGGTTTGGATAAAAAATTGTATAGTCACCTTAACCATCTCCATTTTAACCACCTTAACCATATCCATGAGGATATTGAGGTTTAGAGAGATAAATTACTCTGCCCAAGGTCACACAGCTGGTAAATGATAGGGCTGAGATTCAAACTCTGTATGGCTCTGCTGTGGACTGAATTGTATCTCCAAAAATTCACATGTTGATGCCCTAATCCTCCAATATGTATTTGGAGACAGAACCTGTGAGGTGATAAAGGCTAAATGAGATCATTAAGAGTGGAGCCTCACATGTACTCACCATCAAATTGGTATTAACTGATCAACACATAAGTGCACATATAAGAATAACATCTATTGGATGTTGGGCAGGGGGGAGGGAGGAGGAGGGAGGAGGGGATGGGTGTATGCATACACAAAGAGTGCAATGCGCACCACCACCAGAAGGATGGACATATTTGAAACTCAGACTTAGCAGGGGAGGGAGGGACAAGGGCAACATACATCACCTAAACATCTGTACCCCCATAATATACTGAAATAAAATTTAAAAAAAAAAAGAATTTATTTAAGGAGAAAAAAAAAAAAGAGTGGGGCCTCAATCTGTCAGGGCTGGTGCCCTTATAAGAAGAGCCCAGGCCGGGCACAGCGGCTCACGCCTGTAATCCTAGCACTCTGGGAGGCCGAGGCGGGCAGATTGTTTGAGCTCAGGAGTTCGAAACCAGCCTGAGCAAGAGCGAGACCCCGTCTCTACTAAAAATAGAAAGAAATTAATCGGACAACTAAAAATATATAGAAAAAATTAGCCGGGCATGGTGGGGCATGCCTGTAGTCCCAGCTACTCGGGAGGCTGAGGCAGAAGGATCGCTTGAGCCCAGGAGTTTGAGGTTGCTGTGAGCTAGGCTGATGCCACGGCACTCACTCTAGCCCGGGCAACACAGTGAGACTCTGTCTCAAAAAAAAAAAAAAAGAAGAAGAGCTCAGTTTTTGTCATGTTAGGATGTGGAGAGAAGGTGGCTATCTGCAAGCCCAGGAAGAGAACCCGCGCCAATAACCGAATGGGCCAGCACCTTAATCTTGGACCTCTCCTTCAGAACTGTAGAGAATAAATTTCTGTGGTTTAAAGCCACCCAGTCTGTGGTATTTTGTTATCGTAGCCTGAGCAGACTAAGACAGGCTCTAATATACACGCCCCTTCCCTTCATCACGCTGGAGGTGGACCTCCATCCTGAGCTAGTGTTGAGCCAGCCACTGGTGCTAGCCTAGACATATCTACTTATCTCTTCCATTTGTATTTCTTGAACTTAGGCCAAGGGTGGATCCATTATCCTCCTTCTTAAACTAAAGTAGGCAGCTTATTGTCAATCCCCGTATCAGTCTGGGTCTGGTCAGAAACCACACTGTGATTTGAACAAGGAAAGTATAAAGATTATAATGAGATTGTAGTAAGGAGGGATTGATTAGTAAGAAGTAAAGAGGACTCTAAAGAATATAAGAATACCAAATATTAAAAAAGAGGAGGGGGAAGAGAAAGAAAAAAAGAATAGCAGATAGAAGGAACAGCCACTGTCCATAAGGCTAAGACAGACCAAGGAAGGGCCCTCCCCTCAAACCTGCGCCCTGGTCCCCAAGCTGAGATCCAGTCTTCAGCTGTGGCCCACTGAACAGCAGAGGAGTGGCTGTGGTGCTGTGCTGGCGGAACTTGCTAGACATCTGCCCTCTCGGCTGGAAACTTCCCTCTAGGATGCTGGAGAAAAGCTGTTCACAGAGAGGCATCTCACGGGAGGCACTCTGTACAAAACCACCCAACTGGGGTAGGGCCTGGGGGGAAGCTGCTGGCTGCTGGGTGCTGCCGTCCCTGTACACAGCGGAAGCCTGGTGCTGGGAAAGCCATCCTCAGATGCTGGGCTTGGGGACAACCACACACAGTGCAAGAGCCTGGTGGAGCCAGAAAAGAAAACCTTTCCTCCTCCCATGCCTCTCCAGAGCCTTACTGACAAAGCTTAACATCCTGCCAGTAGGCAAAGGGAAAAACATATATATTCAAAGGGTCTATATTCAAAGGATCCATTTTCAGAGCTGGCAAAAAGGATGAATTGGAGCTGAGAGACAATAAACCAACAACCAGTACACTTCCTCTAAAAGGAGACTATAGTTTTCCTCAGCCGGCGGATCCTGAAACCAGAGAAGGGAGGGGGACTAAAAAATGAGACTTGAAATTAAGGGGAGGTGTATCTAGGGTGAGGCTTAGAAATATGAGGTTTTTTAAAAAAAAATGTATCGAGAGCACGGTGCAAGGGGAGGCCACCTACGCAGCTGCCCTGAAATATGAGTTTTTAACACGCTCTCTAAGAAGTTCTGCAGATCTCTGAAATTACTATTTTAGAGTCCTTAGGTGGCAGGGTCCTGGCAGGGAATATCCAAAGACATAACCTCCCAGGTGCTTCATGTGTGTGCGTCTGTCGGCGTGTCTGAAGTTGCAGGTCTTGGCACGCCCGATTCTCTGCTAAGTGCCCTAGCGCAACCCTGTATCCATCTGTTTCCACTCACGGCTGGGGCCTCACGTCTTCTCCACATTGTTTCTCCATCTCTGTGTGCCTGCCCCGCAGTCGGATGGCTCTGCCTCCCAAGCCACGACCACCCTTGTCCTCCTTGTCTCGTACACGCTGAGCCCCGCGCCTGGAACACTGTTCGCCGTCGGCCCGTCTCCCTCCCAAACAGCCCACCTTCCTTCATCAGACGAATGCATACTCTTCCCCCTCAACTCAGATGACTACCTGCCACCGAAGCCCTTTCTCTTTGAGAACCGCCCCCCGGCCTGGGTCAGGGGCCCTTCCCCGCCGCCATCGCATAGCTCCGTTAACACTGCACTGTCATGCCTGCTTCCCGCGCGGCCTGCGCGGCGATGTCTTTGCCACCACTGCGTCTCCGATGCCTAGCGCGGTGCTGGCCCCTGGCTGGCATTCAGTAAATACTGACTGAGTGAATAAATACCGGGATTGTCCCTTTAGGGGAGGACCCATCTGTCCTGCTCACTGCGCTGCCCTAGCCTGGTGTTCCCTAACGCAAGCCCGAGCCGTCCTGCAAAAGGCCACGAGTCGAAGGAGGCCAGCGCGGCGCCCGGCTCACCTCCTCTGTCCGGCGGGGCTGGGCGTCGGGGCCTCGGGCCGGAAGGAGTCGCGCGGCCGCAGGGGCGGTGGGACCGGCCCGGCCGCCCGGAGGGGCGGGGCCTCGGCGCGCGCTCCCGGAAGCGCTGCCGCGCCCGCGCTCCCGGCCCGGAGAGGCGTTGCTGCAGCCACCGCCGCCGCCGCTACCTCCGCCGCCCCGGACATGCCGGTAAGTGGCCGCGCCGCTCCCGCCCGCGCAAGCCCGCGGTCTCCGGCTTGCGCCGAGCCTGCACAGCCGCTTGGCCAGCTGTTGCTCTTAGAGGGCTCAGGCCGCAGCCGGAGCTGCTATCGTCCCTCTACTTACTCCTCCCCATCCTAGCCCCCAGCTTTTGCGACCTTCCAGAAAATCGAATCCGAAGGGAGTTTAATCTAGGAGCCAGGCTTTGGAACGCCAGAGCTGCAACGCCCCCAGGGATTACAGACCCAAACCTTCCCAGCGTACATGGGGAAACTGAGACCCAGGGAGCGGGCAGAGTTGCTCAGGATGATCACGGAGTTGGCGAGCTGGAACTGGGACGCATAGTCCCTGCGCCTTCCACCTGGCTAACCCTGCGCGCAGATCTAGCCTGAAAGAGGGCCGCGAGGTGGTTCTGGGTGGTTCTGGGCAAGTGGGTGGACCTGGCTATTGCCTCATGGACAGGGCCAGGTTTTCAGAGGTTCGTGTTTTCCTGCCTACTCTGGCCTATTTTTCAGGTCAGCGCTGGGCGACATGGGTTGGAGAGGGTCAGTTTCTCAACCTGAACCCATGAACCCGAGAGGTTCAGCAACCACCCCGAAGACACCAGTTGTTCCCTGGCAGAGTTTGGGGAGTAGGGGTTAGTCTTGCTTTTGCAGCTCGCTCAGTCTTGTGGCATATAAGTCGTTGCTCATGGCCTCATTTTGAGATAAAAAAAAGAGATTTAAAAAAAAAAAATGTGAAAGCCCAGTAGTTTATTCAAGGTTGTGTTGGAAGTTGGGTAGAGCCAGGATTAAGCCCCTTATCTTCAAGCTCCCAGCCTCTCTTTTCTGACCACATGGGAAGTACCTGGCAAAAGCAGTCATACCAGTTTGGGAAGAAGCTCTGATCCCAATTGCATCCTGGTTGGAGTCATGTGGTGTTTAGCATTTTCCTCCAGGGTGCCTAGTTCGTGGCTCTGGGCCAAGTGGCTACCCAGAGGTAATCCACAGAAACCCTGTGTCTTAGCAGCTTATCTTTGGGGGGCTGACAGATGAGCCTGAGGCCTCCTGGGAAGAGACATGAACATCTCAGGTGACATTCCCCTTGGGTCTTGCCAGGTGCTGTGAGACAGCTCCTCAGACAACACAAACTATGGACAAGGAACCTGATAGAATCAGCCCTACCAGTTGAGCAAGTCCACCTGTGGCAATGTTAGAGGACAGCATTAATCACCCTGGGACTGGGAGCATGGAGGCCATCAGGCTTTTTGTCGGAGGTGACAGTGAGCAAAAGGCCAATTTGAGGATTGCTCTGTGTCCACTTCTGGGGATTTTGACAAACAAAAGATCCTCCTGAGCAGATGATCAGAATGAGGAAGGCACTTGGCACCATATCACGAGAAGAACAGCCAAAGGAAGGAGGGTATTCATCAGGGGACTGCCTCAAAACTGGAAGAGAAAGAGTGTGTTACCTGAGAGGTTTCTCATACAAATGCTTAAGAGCACAGGGCTTGGAATCCCAGAAACCTCTCTGAAAATCTGTGCCTGTTTGCCAACTGGGTGACCTCAGGCAAGTTGCCTTACCTCTCTGCCTTAATTTCCTCACCTGTAAAGTGAGAATAAAATATGCCAGTAAGATATGTAGCACAACCACTGACATACCTAGTCCCCAAGAAATGGTAGCTCTTATGTAGACCTAGGACAAGTGCGGTAGAACAATAGCCAGCCAGGTTGCAATCCCATTTTAACAAGGACCTCTGTGGTTAAGAGTTGAGGTTTTGGAGACAGTGTCCAATATTGACTTTGGAACTCACTATCTGTGTCACCCTGATTGAGTGACCTAACCTCTAAACCTCAGTATCATCTCTCATCTCTCAAGAAGGGATAATGAATGATGATAGGACCTTACCTCATGGGATTGTTGTGAAGATTAAACAAGCTAATGCACGTAAAGTCTTTAGAACAATGCCTGGCACATACTAATAGTAGGCACTCCATTGTTAGTAAACGCCCAATCATTAGAGTGTTCAAGGACTGAATGTCCTGGATATTTATTTGAAAAAGAATTCCTAATTTGGGAGGGGACTGGATAGAGTGACCCCCTCGATCCTCACTCTTCTAGTTCTGAGATTCTATTAAAGAATTGTACAGCTTACTGACTTTTAAAATCTACTTTAAAGAACCCATTTCATAAGTCTTTATAAAAGACCCTTGAGGCCCTGAGACTGCCCCAAATCATGCATCTAATGATAGAGTTGGTCTTGAGATTCTCCTGCAAAAAAAAATGGATTATTCTGTCCATTAAGCAGATTTTCCATCACCCTCAAATTTATTTTTGCCACTTAGAGGTGGAGGAGGAGAGCACCCAATTGTAATGTTTGCCACCCAGAAGCTGCTTTCTGGCTTCTGACCTTTGTACTTTGGGGGATGAAAGACCTATTCCCTGTAGTCAGCAGCAGAGAGCTTCAGACATCTCTTGACTTTAGGTCCTTGAGCAGCAAAAAATTGTGCTCCTTAACAAGATGTTCCCACTCTCAGAACTCCTGCAGAGAGTCAGGGTTATGGAGATGCGGGGGTGGCAATGCACTTTGCATTCCAGAACCAGCAAGATTTCCTGGGAGCAAAGAAAGCCTGGGTTCACATCTCATCCTCAGTACTTAGCATGTGACTGTAGGCAGCTTAGTGAACCCTTGGGAACTTCACTTTCCTCTTGAGTAAAATAAGATGAATAGCTCCCTTTCCAGGCTGAGTGAGGACTAAAATAATGAGAATTTGACATACAGTAGGCATTCAGTGGATTTAGTTCTCATATTGATCTTCCAACATGAGAACTTGCAAATCCTTCAAAGCTTTGGTTCAGTATACAGGTTCAAACCATTGATGGGTCTTGATTGTCTGCTGGTTCTTCTAGACTCAGCCAACTTTTTCTAAAAGGGCCAGATAGTAAATATTTTAGGCTTCGCAAACCACGGTGTCTCTGTTACAACTACTCAACTCTGCTGTTCCGGCGCAGAAGTAAACAAATGAGCTTGGCTGTGTTCCTGCAAAATATTATTTGTAAAACCAGTTCACAGGCAGGCTGTAGTTTGCCGATCTGTGTTCTAGAACATCATCTCAAACTGTAATTTGGGCAGGAATGACCTGGGTGTCTTGTTAAGGTGAACGTTCTGATTCGGGAGGTCTAGGGTGGGACCTGAGATTCTGCAGATCTGACAAGCTCTCAGGTGATGCTCCTACTGTTGGTCTGAGGACCACACTTTAAAGACAGGATTTTGTGGTACCCACTACAAATCCTTTTCAGAATTTGTTGTTGTTTTCAAATAGCCATGAAACAAGCTGAAAAAAGCAAAGGTGTTTAACTAGAAGAAAAGAAAAAAATGACCATTTTCTTTAAGGCAGGTTTTACAGATTTGGCTTCAATAAAATTAGTGATCTACTAGTCATAAAGGTTAAACAGCCCAACTCTGGAAAGCCAAGCTGCTTAGCACTTGGTCTCAGTTTCCTCTGTAAAGCACGACAGTAATCCAGGCCCAAAGGTGTTTAGAGACTTGGAAAGTTTGAGAAGCCACTTAGCCCTATTTTTTCTCAGGTGTGGAGTTTTGCCTCCCTGTCTCTCCTCAACAGGTTAAAAATGGAGAGTCATAGGGCCTGCTCCAGATCCACAGAGCCAGTTGAGGCAGGTACCTGGAGAGCTCCACGTTCCACGAGCTCCCCAGGTGATTCTTACACGCACTGAAGTTGAAAAAATTGAGTTGGCTAATCCCTTTTTGTATAGATAAGGGAACTGGAGCCCTTCTGGAGCAGAGGTTTTTGCCTGAGGTCTCCCAGCAAGATGTATTGCTATACCCAGAATTCCAACTGAGGTAATAGACTTGAAATATTTTGAAGTGTTCCATGAAAAATGTAGCTATCTATTGCTTAGTAAATATCCCAAAACTTCGTAGTTTAAAACAAATATATAAGTATTAACACACACAGTTTCTGCGAGTCAGGAATCTGGGAGCATCTTAGTTGAATGGTTGTGGCTCAGGATCTCTCATGAAGTTGCAGTGAAGATGTTGGCTGGACTGCAGTCATCTGAAGGCTTGATTGGGGCTGGAGAACCCACTTCCGAGGTGGCTCACTCACAGGGTTGTTAGCTAGAGGATTCAGTTTCTCACCATGTGGACTTCTCTTTATGGTCGCTTGAGTATCTTTATGATCTGGAAGTTGGCTTTCTCTAAAGTGAGTGATCCCAGAAAGAGCAAGGCAGAAGTCACAGTGTCTTTTAGGACATTGTGATAGCTTCAGAAGTCACATAGCATCCCTTCAAGCCATATTCTGTTTGATACATAGACCAACCCCGAGACATTTTAGAATGGAACTACTCAAGGATGGAAATACCATGAGATAGAGATCATTGAGGCCGTCTTGGATGGTGGCTGCCACGTTTAAAATCCTACGTTGGGCTGGGCACAGTGGCTCACGCCTGTAATCCTAGCACTCAGGGAGGCTGAGGCGGGCGAATCGTTCTGAGCTCAGGAGTTCGAGACCAGCCTGAGCAAGAGCGAGACCCCGTCTCTACCAAAAAATGGAAAGAAATTAATTGGATAGCTAAAAATATATGTAGAAAAAATTAGCCGGGCATGGTGGC